GAAGGCCACGTGCTTTTGCTATCATCCTGCCGAATACCCATGTATCCGTCACATCATGCCAGATAACAAGAATTTATCCGGCACCTTATTATGATCGTACCAGCAGAAATATTTTGATGATAATCGCATCATCATCACCAAAAGAACTCGAGTCATTCTGTTGGTTAGGTCGTCGTAAGATGTCTGATAATACCGTTACTCAGCGAATAACTTGTCTATCTGGCAGTGAATTTAATATGTCATTTCTGGGCCCGTTCGGGGCCCAGAAGCTGACATATTAAACTTAACAACCAGATAATGGAATTATTTTTTACAAATAATTTCCGTTATTGGCTGCTTCGCATCCAATAACTTTATATTATTAAATCTTAAAAAAAATAAACAAATAAGTCAACTTTGTAATTTGCGAAAATTTATAATAATGATTTTTCTAAAAATAATTTATCGAAAATGAAAAGTTTAAATAAAGATCTCGTTTTTAAATTAACACACAGCATATAATACTGTATTTAGAAGATAATAGTTTATAAAAAAAAGATTTTTATAATTTATTACAAAATTTATTTAAGTAAAAATAATGAAAATAATTTCTTACTTGATTGAAAAATTCTAAAAAAATTCTTGAATATATGACGATATCTGTATATTAGTACTGTAGTCTATTTCTAAATCTTTTAGCTTTGGATTATTTGCATAGATTTAAATGTTAATATTTATTAAAGATAAAATCCTTTTAGACTGAACTTTATCATTAAAATTTTACATTCTCAAATAAGTCATTCAGGAATTAATTTACGCCAGCCAATTAGGCTAATATACGTACGTCTGCGTTGTGAGCTTAGCTTTACTCATATTTGGCTATAAATGTATGCTCATTATTCTCTTTATACAGTTGATACTGTCTAATTGCATACTGTCTAATTGCATATACTCTCTAAATGCATAAAAAATTTTGATTTTTAATTATTGATGCAAAAATGGTTCTTATGACTTAAATGCATATATTGACTATATGCATAAAAAAAGTCTCTACGGATAGTATGCAATTAGACAGTACCGATTGTATTCGGATTTTGTATTCCGAATTCAAGAACCTTTAATCAATTCTTAAGATATGCTGCACTTACAATACATATTATATATATTTTTTTTTGAACTTCAGGAATGAATACTTAGTTTGGTGCTAGAAGCCTATACTAAACATGTTTCAATTTTTTAAATCATTATAACTTTTAATACAAGAGGTTTTTCAAAACACTGACCGGTATCTTTGTAGAGCAATATTGATTCTATAAATTTGCCAAATGGTTTTTTTGAAAAACCTTTTGTATAAAAAGTTGGCGCTTACTATTGTTTTATATATTATAATTATCAATTTATACTGTATAAAATGCCATGATTTTTTATAAAAACAATATTTTAAAAGTCTGATTAGTAACTTGTTCTTCATAATAAGCTCTGCAAAACTGTCCCTATAAAGAGTTGATGTGTTTAAAAGTTATATTATTTTTATTATCGAGTATAAGCTTCTAGTATCATACTAGTATTTGTTTTGTAAATTCTAGAATATATCAAAATACAAAATATAAACATTATCAGCACTTTACAGCATAATTACACAGATATTCAGTATTATGTGATGTTTTAGTACAATCGGTATTCAAAATCAGATAGAACAGATTTTATATATTCAATGAACCTGAAAAATTATCACCGCAGAAAATTGTCATCTCTGTACACACTGCGAATACGAATTTTCATGTAAAGAACTTTATAAATTTAGAATTTATAACTACGGGCATCCTAGATGATAATATTTGTTACTATGTTTATGTACTTCGTGCAACTATATATAAAATGTTTCTATTATGAAGTTTTTTAATATATCGAATTTTATTTAAACTAGCCTTAGTCCCAATTTCAAAAATTAATTAAAATTTCAAAATGACATGTGTACGTGGCATTTACTAATTTTCACATGCTTTCTATTGGTAATTGTCACAGGTTTAGTAGAAGAAAATATATCAAAAATTTTGCAGGGAATTTTGTTAGTACAAAAAATATTGTTATTGTTAATTTTCACGTTACACTCGATGTTACACCCAGTGTTTTGAAATTAGTGTTTTCATTATAAATCTGTGCACAGTGTAACTTTTTTTACTGTTAACTATCAAAAATTTTTTGTATATAATGTGTAGCAGCAGTTTTGATATGAAAAAAATGCGCCACATTTTAAGAAGGTAATAATTATTAGATTTATTTATTTATTTTTTAAAGAATTCTTTTTCAAAAATATAATATTTCATTAAACTTGCAATTTGATGTATATTATATTTAATTAGTATTGGTATAAATCGTATGTTTAATACAAATTTATACTGAAAATTTGTTAGTTTTATTTTTGTTCCTCAGTATATTTGGCAATAATTACAGTATTGTTGGGAGCTGTTTTTTTTTTTTTGTGAACATAAAATATCATCTATAGTTATTTTGAGAACATTTCTTCTTTCTCGCCGTGATACAATTCACATGAAATTATAAATATTATATTTGTCGTAAATTTGCTTTAACTTTAAAGTTAGAAAGAATAAATTCTATACTAAAATTTTGCAAGGAATTTTTTTTTGTTAGAACACAAGAGGCGGTTTTTTAGACAAGATTTTGAGTTATTGGCGATTTTTTGAAAAATGCCAACAAATACGAACAAATTCATGTCACACCTGATCTTACGATCTACATACAAAAATTTCCTTTTTTAGGTTTGTATCACGATGGGAAATAAGGGCGTGCAACATTTCAAACACTGGTTATACCAGATCTTGTGATGTATGTACGTACGTACGTACATACGTAAACGTACAGTTAGCGTTAGTCATCATTTCCAAATTTGTTAATGATTAACAGTGTGATGTGATTTAATTACATCATACTTGTAATAGTAATAATGGCATGATGTATGGTCAGATTATTATTATGGGATGATATTAAAATGTCGCAGATTTCTGTATCTAATATTTTTCTTATAAAAGCATCGTCAATTTTTAACGAGGTTTTTTTTTTCAGAGAAAATGTCTGATATTACTAAAACCACTATAACTCAAGAACAAGCTTCATCTGTAACAGCCGATACAGTCCTCACGAGTACTCAAGATGCAGAGTCACAAACTCCAATCTCTCGTGTGGTTGTAATTGCCATTGATCAATCTGAGCATAGTCAGAATGCATTTGATTGGGCAATTAAAAATTTCTTGAGAAAGGATAGCGATTTGGTAAAGACTATATACATAATGCCTACCTGATTTATTTATAAGAACTAAAATTTTATTTAAATTTAATAATCAAGGTTGTACTGGTCAATGCACGACCGATTCCAACAGTTCCGGGACAATACAGTAAGTCTTATGCAATAATGATAAATAATCCAATCTAAGTTTAACCAACTTTTGTACACCTTAAACAGCTCTTGGCGCTAGTTATATGGATTTTACTGAAGTCATAGCAAGTTTAGAAGAACAAGTGAGTTTGTGGTCTTCCATTTGTGTGACTATAGAAAATAAAATATTAAATTTGATTTTTTTTAAATTACAATTATCTTAGCATCGTGTTAGTAGTCATAATCTTTTAAAAGATTTTGCAGCAAAACTAAAAAGCCATGATGTACGTATAATTATATGTGTGCATACTTGATTATTTGAAATCCATCTAATTCGACAATATTATAGTTTTCTTGTAAAGCCATAGCTATGCGAGGAGATGCACGCGAAGAAATCGTTCGTAAGGTTTCTGAATTAAAAGCAAGTACCTTGATAGTTGGATCTCGTGGTTTAGGTGCTTTGAAACGGTTTGTACGAATTCATTAATATCTCTTTTCTATTATATTAATTAGTAATAATATTTTTTTCACTTAATAGCATGTTCCTTGGTTCTGTGAGCGATTATTGTAGCCATCAATGCGATTGTACCGTTATTATCGTTAAAACCACTGATCAAGAATCGAGTGTGTGATTTGCATTTTTAATCTTGATATAGTTAATTTGATAATCGTTCCAATAGTTACTATGTAGTATGTAAAAAATGGTGTTTATTTTTATTTTTTTATTTTCTTATTATCCTTGTGATCAATGATTTTGTTTGTCCATGTGCTAAATATATAAAAAATGAGTTTTATTATTTCTCGCTTATAAGTTTTGCCAGATTTAATGGTCTTTTTTTTTTTTATAACACACTATTTCATTAGTGCTGGGTGATTATGGAGGAGGATAACTGTATAATATAAAGAGCTAAAAAAATTTCATTAAGAAATTAAATAATAAAAAACTGTTAACAGATCTTGTTTTGTGAATTTAAAGGAATTTAGCGAACTTATGTTTGAAAATTTTAATAACCTTTTTTTATTTTTTTATAAACATAAATATAGGGAGTTGTTATTGCCACCTCCCAATTTGTTAGTGCCACCCCACGTGATATATAGACTATGTGTTGCAGATTTCGGTAAAGATAAAAATTTTAAAAACTTTGAACGAAGATATATCGAAAACTACCCGCTTGCATCTTGTAAAACCTTTTAGATTTGAATTCTATGGATTTATAGAATTCAAAAAAAAAAAAAAAAAAAAAAATTACATCGAATTTAGCCATGTGGTTGTCGATATATCTTCGCTCAAAATTAGAAACAAATCAAAACTAGAAGCTGCGCCAAATTTCTCTCTAACTTTAAGCGAAGATATCTCGATAACTATCTGACCAAATTCGATAAAACTTTTTTATTTGAATCCTACAGATTCATAGAATTCAAATAAAAAATTTTCATCGAATTTAGTCAAGCGGCTATCGAGGTATCTTCGCTCAAAATTAGAGAAAAATAAAACGCTATCAAAATATAAAATTTCTCTCTAACTTTGACGAAGATATCTCGATAACGGTCTGTTCAAATTCAATAAAAATTTTTTATTTCAATTCTATGCATTGACAAAATTTAAATAAAAAAAATTCATTGTATTTAGTCGAGTGGAAGTCGAGATATCTTCGCTCAAAGTTAGAAAAAAAATTTGGCGTAGATTCTATTTTGATCTCTACAAACACTTGATTAAATGCAATGAAATTTTTTTTATTTGAATTCTATGAATCCATAGAATTTAAATAAAAAAGTTTTATCGAATTGATTAGATAGTTAACGAAATATCTTCGCTCAAAGTTAGAAAGAAAATTTGACAAAGCTTTTATTTTGATAGACAGTTTGATTTTTCTTTAATTTTGAGCGAAGATATCTCTGTAGCCCTAGACTAAATTAATAATAATTTTTTTATTTGAATTCTATATACACGTAGAATTCAAATAAAAAAAGTCTTATCGAATTTAGTCAGATGGTTATCGAGATATCTTCGCTCAAAGTTAGAGAAAATTTTGCACAATTCCTACTTTGATAGACGTTTTGATTTTCCTCTAATTTTGAGCAAAGTTAACTCGACAACTACATGGCTAAATTCGATGAATTTTTTTATTTGAATTCTATGAATCCATAGAATTCAAATATAAAAGGTTTTATCAGATTCAAGCGGGTAGATATCGATATATCTAAAGTTTTTAAATTTTTTTTATTTGTGGGGTGGCACTAACAAATTGGGGGGAACGTTAAAGCCAGGTGCCATCACGTGATCCGGCGATCGTCGACATAACTATCCGGAAATCGGAGCTATTATATATGATAATAAGATTAAGAAATTTTTTTGCCAAAATCTGGGGCAAATTTTATGTATAAGGTATTATCGATTTCTTTCTTGTTTACATATGTACGTACAAGAAAACAGTAGCAGTGAACTTTCATAAAAAAAAAGGCGTTTAATATCAATGCAATGAGAACTTAGTACAAACAATATTTATCAAAATACTTCCTGTAAAAAAATTTTGAGTACTCTATAAATCAATCACTGCTGTACTGCCGACAAAAAACTTTTCTTTAAAAAAAAAAAACCAAAAAAAAATTATAGTAATGAAAAGACCTTATGCTGTGCAAGTACTCAAGTGTTTTAAAAAAAAAAAAAAAAAAAGGTAATGAATACTTCTAGTAAAGAAAATTCTTCCTGATTAATAAATGTGGACTTTCCACAGCAAATATTTTCTGAATCAAATATAAATTTTAGACAAGGCCTCTTACAGCAAATATCAAGCTTTTCACAATTACTTTCTGAACCAACTACTTTAATGGATACTGTCTTAATATATTCAACTACAAGCTTTATGCCTAACCAAAGACACACATTACTTTAATGTTCAACAGCCGTTTGAAGTGCCGATAAACAAATTTGATGCAGAATGGTGGCCTTTAGTTACAAACATTTGGGTGAAATTTAGTTTTAAGAATCATGTTAGTGAAAACTATTGGAAAACCTTTGTATGCCATTTTAATAAACTTTTTAAATCAAGTACGCACAAAGAGGATGTTCCAAATGAAAAATGCTAAAAAACAAAGGTTTGAGAGGCAGGTTTATTTTGCGAAAATAAAAGTAACATGGTTTGTTATCATGCAAAAAGTGCTTGTTAAACGCTTTCAAGACTCTCTTGATCATGTACATAAACTAGAAGAAAGTGAAAAACTAAAACGATCCTGAGCTGTTCGGACTTTAGTAGAAAAGGAAGCAGTTAAGAATTATCCCGTGCCTACAATAGTTAGTGTGGTAAAGGAGTATGTAAGTGAAAAGCTAGATCTTAGCTCAAGTATAAAGGAATTGAAATAGAGGGAAGTTGTCAATATAAAATATAAAGTCCATGGCCCTCAAAATACTTACTTAATTGGTACCCCTAAACTAACTCAAGATATATGGGATGCGACTTCTTTTTTACAAAAAAAGGGTTATCAAATTAAATTGTATAGAGTTCATTACCAATCTATCCATGGTCTCATTTTTATGCATCCAAAACAACTTGAAAAACTTAAAAAGTAAGGATAGTTAATCTTAATAGATTCAATGCACAAAATGAATAAATATAACTGGCATTTGTTTACACTGTATGTTCAGAATAGATATGGTTGTTGGGATATTGGTGGTCACTTTTTTGCTAGTAATGAAGATAGTAATATGATCACAAAGGTATTAACAATAATGCGGTAATTTTGTAACTCTTGGAAACCTCATTATTTTTTATTAGACCAAAGCAACGCAGAAGCCAGAAGTGTTATTGCAGCTTTCTCGGGTCTTCAGAAAGGTGAACAGGAATGTGATGTTATTTTCTGCACCATACATGTTATGCAGACTTTGATGAATAAAATCTATGAAATGAAAACTCATAACAAAAATAATTCAAGCCATGCCTAAGTGAACAAAAATTGGCTGTAAAATGTTTGTTCAAAAATCAATTAATAAATGTCCTCTCCTCCCTATTAAACAATATATTGCAAGATACTATTCGAAAAACACTCACTAGTATACTAGTCAAAAACTAGAAATTCGACCAAGGTGAATTTTAATAAAATTTGGCACCAATTCAACTCAAGAGTTTAAAATTTAACTATTAAGTATTCGACATGGTTGAATTATTAGTATATTCGACCTAATTTTAACAGAAATTCAATAGTCAAATTTTTTAAAATTTGACCTGAGCGAAGTTTGAAAAAATTCGATCTAAAATTAGCTAGAAATTCGGTGTTCGAATTTTTAAAAATTTGCCCAGGCTGAATTTTGAAAAAAATTTGATCTAAAATTAGCTAGAAATTCGGTATTCGAATTTTTCAAAATTCGATCTAAAATTAGCTAAAAATTCAATGGTTGAAGTTTGAAAAAATTTGATCTAAAATTAGCTAAAAATTCAGTGTTCAAATTTTTAAAAATTCGCCCAGGCTGAATTTTTAAAAAATTCAAACTTAAAATAGCCAGAAATTTAATAGTCAAATTTTTTTAAAATTCGGTGTTTGAATTCTAAAAAATTCAACCATTGAATTTCTGGCTATTTTAAGTTCGAATTTTTTAAAAATTTGGCCTGGGCGAATTTTTAAAAATTCAAACACCAAATTTTTAGCTAATTTTAGATCGAATTTTTCAAACTTCGCCCAGGTCGAATTTTAAAAAATTCAACTATTGAATTTTTAGCTAATTTTAGATCGAATTTTAAAAAATTCGAACATTGAATTTTTAGCTAATTTTAGATTGAATTTTTTTTAAAATTTGTATGAAAATATGTATGTCCAAGAATATTTGATTATATTATTACTGAAGTTTTTGCTGTTCGGAAGAACAGTTAGGCCAGACCAATTTAATTCAGTCAGCCTTAATTAAGAGTGAACTTTGAATAAATCTCAAATAAACTATAAATTTTTGATGATCGAATTTTAATAAAATTCAATCTGACTAAATTGTACCTAAACAAATTTTAATCTGACCAAGTTAGTAGATGAATTTTAACAAAATTCGATCTGGCTAAATTGTTACTAAATTCAATATATATAAATTTAATTAGATTGAAAAAACCTATTACATATCTAGCTGAATAATACAATACAAAAAATTCGATATAAAATTGATATACTAAATTATATATAAATTTTTCTATTAATTGGCATAATAGCAATATATTTTTTTGAACTTTTTTTGTGTGCTAATTTATAAGGTCCAGACACAAATCAGTTTAAAATTTGGTGAATTGGTATTAAACAATCACGACTAATCAGAAAAAAGTCTTTAGTCCAAAGTTCAACATTGCATAATTGATCTTTTTCCTCATTTATTCCAAAATAGAGTTTTGTTAAACTATTAGATACTGGTTTATACCAATGCACAAATGCTAGATTATGTTTAAGTTGGCTATTATTCATATCAATTGTATACTAAATAAAATATTGTATTTGGCCAACATATGTATTATAAGAAACTCTATCTTGATTAATAAATTCAGTATAATAAATGAGCTTCTTATATGCTAAATTGACATAGTTGATCCAAATATTTCTGAACTAATTCGCAAATGGCCAAATTGGTCTCCAAATAGATAAATTAATATTGAATTTTCATCTC